CCAGATTCTTATATGAATCAAGAATGTAAAAGGAATATTGCAGAGATTCAAGATTTAGCATTTACTTTCAACTTCTGATCACGAAGGTCTTGATGGATTCGATGACCCGAAAATTGTTGTATTGTGTAACGAACGATGTTTTTATTATTGAGCGAACACAGAAATGTCCAGTACTTGGACACCTATTTAACAGCAGTTAGACCCCTGGGCAAAGAAATATATAGTTGAGAGAAGCCTCAAACACACGGCAAGAATGTCTTCAGCCTAAACAATTTTTTTTTTTAAATCTTACATATAAAAATTTTCATCTGCTCTCTTGTCATATGGCGAAAATGGTGAATGACGACGCAATCTTCCAAATTGAAAAGTTTCGCTTTGAAGCGGATAGTGGTGAGGCGCTCATTCACCGGGGTGAATGCCAGTACTCGATGACGGAGTCTCTCTCTGCCACCACAAATCCAACACCAAATTTGCGCTCCTTTATATGGCCGCTGTAGTAAATGTTACAAGAACTTACTCGCATTCGTTCTTGTCCCATCCATCGCACTTCTTGGATGTCAGGATTTATTCTAACGAGGACATCAACAAGGTGGATAGCGGCACCTTCCCAATTAATGAACCGGACATTCCAGGCGCATGCCCTCAAATCGTGATCCTTCATTCGTTGGTGGCTACGGTAACCGAGTGGTTAGCATTGCGTACTGCCATTCGGAAGGCTAAGGTTCAAATCCCGGTGCCACCAACATCCAAATGTTAAAGAAAATTAATTTAAATAAAAAAGTAAGCTGAATTTTCTAATTGCGGTTATCGCTGGACATTGAATGTCAACCCCTCCAAGTGTATTTCTGACGTTAAATAAAGCTCCTCTTAAAAAACAGCAGCCGTTCGGAGGCGGCATAGTATAAACTATAGGTTCCTCCCCTTGTTGGAAAAACATCGCAACTCTAAAAGCACAGCCAGAAGCCTGTCTACCCCCCATAATATTATATAAGTTTACTATAGGAATATTTGTCGCATATTCGGGAAAGATACTTTTGTAACCGTTTGACTCAAAACATCAAAGGAGCAAAGTCTCGAGTTTGAGTATTTTGCAATCGGCATAAAAAATAAACTTTTTTCTCAACTGTACATCTTTTGCCCTTCGTATTTAAAATTAAACTTTTCTTATAAAGCTAACAAAAACCAGCTTTTGTTAGGGTTTCATAATTTTTTTTCGGCTTTTTAACAATACAAATAAAAAAAATCTTCCAACATTTCCCAAAACGCGTATTAAAATAATGAATTTGTTTTTTGCTTTTCCAAATTTTCACACGGAATTATTGTTTTTGGTTACACAAACCACGCTTGATAAACCGATTCTCTCAGATTCTTATATGAATCAAGAATATAAAACAATTTACTTTCAACTTCTGATCACGAAGGTCTTGATGGATTCGATGACCCGAAAAATGTTATATTGTTTAATGAACGATGTTTTTATTATTGAGCGAACACAGAAATGCCCAGTACGTGGACGCCTTTTTCACAACAGTTAGACCACTGGGAAAAGAAATATATTGTCGAGAGAAACCTCAATCAAAAAGGAAAGGATGTCTTCAGCCTAAGCAATTTTTTATTTAAATCTTATATATAAAATTTATCATCTGATCGCTTGTTATATGGCGCCAATTCGTATATAACCTCTATATAAACTGTTGTGTTCAGGCGAAAATGCTGATTCACGACGCAATCTTCCAAATTAAGTGGTAATTTTTTCTCACAAGCTTCTGATCATGTACCTTTTTGTATTTCTTTCCTCATCTTTAATGAATTCCAGACGTAAAATATGCCTATACATTTTGTTTTTTTTTTAGCAATAGCGAAGGGGATGGCATTGCTTACTGCCTATCTGAGAGCATCCAAAATTAAGAACATTATTTTTTCTAATTGCCCCTCGGCAGGGAATGTCAAACCTTTCGAGTGCATTCCTCACATGAAATAAAAGCTTCTCATAAAAATCCTTCGGCCGTTCGGGGGCGCTTGGGATAATCTCCATTTAGCGGGAAACCCCAAATTGGAGCAGGAGCTCGGCCGAAAATCGCTTCAGTATTTACAACAAAAAAAAATATTTTTTTCTCAATTTGCTCTAAGGACATGAAGTAAATTGATTTAAACAAAGGTGGTGACAAAATTACAAGAAAACTAAACTTGTTTTAATATTATAGCACTACAAATATTATAAAATTATAAATTAAGTTTTGCAGTGTTATTTTTTTGTATATAAAATTGTAAGCACGTTACTTATTTTCTTAAAATAAGTGTCCTTAGGTTTCATACATATATATATGTCACTGATAAAAATTTGTAAAGTGCACATATTATATAAATAAATATATGAGAGCGATCAAGTTTTATATTCGTGTGTGCAGCCTGAAACTAAATTGTTTGATTTCACATAATTGCAGAAATAAAATTAGAGTGTACGACTGCAACTTTTTCTTCAGAAAACTTCTGCTGCACTAGCAATTTTTTTTTTCTAAAATTCAAAGTATTTTAATAATTTAAAATTCAATCTATGAAGTTGTTTAGGCTACGTGTGAACTCTATTGAAAGATTTGGTGTTTTTAGATTTAACAAGGCCAAATTGATAGTCACCAACTGACCAAACCCTTGTTAATCCCCTCTTTCCTTAAACGGACGTATTCAAGTTGAAGCTTTTGCTCGAACCTTTCGGTTCTTCGATAAGGAGTATTTCTGCTTTTTCGATAATGTAAACAAAAATTTTAAATTTTGTCGGAAACATATTTTATGTTTAAGTAAAAACTTCATGTGCTAGAATAAAGTTTAAACCAAAAACATATAAATTTCTTTTTAAATTATATGGCTGAGAATACAATTCTTTTTATTGCTAGGTACATACCGTTTTCAATATATAATATTGTTACGATTTTACTAAATCAACCTCGATGATTTTCTGAACCTTTCGGGTACGATCTCTGGATTGTTGAATAAAAACTCGCCTACTTAGTTTGCAGTTTATTTCGTTATAAAAAATTAATATAATGTCCTTTATTTTCTCGGTAATTCACAATTCAATTATAATACACTTTGCTATTTACAATTACTAGCATCAACTTTCACAATTTACTTTACCTAAATGTAATCTCCAACGCGTTTACTTTACGACTGTACTGATGTTAACGCCGACCAGTTCACTTTGTAACTAACTTCTTGGCAGCTGAGTGTCCCCTTATATAGCTGTCGGCTGCTCGCAGACGAAAGCGTAGAAGCATCGATTTGTTCGCTATCGAAGGTTCTTGTTTTATCGTTTCTAGAATGTACTAGTTATCGGCTTCTCTCTTTCATCTGACATTCGCATCGCATTTTCGCAACACTGCCCTACACCTAAGTCTGATCGTTCCGATCAGACACATTCGCTGTTCCAAGCTCAGCAAGCCTCTCCAGGTGGACCACTTTCATCTTGTTTCTTGGACTCCCAACGGTGTGGATCCGATACACTACGTCGTTTAGCCGTTTGATTACCTTGTATGGACCTTCCCAATTACATTGAAGTTTTGGGGACAAACCCCTCTTCCGTTGTGGATTGTACAGCAACACCAA